ATAAACCCAAAATTATAAACTACTTATGTAAGTATTCAAACTTACATTTAATTGAAAATATAAAATATTAACTAATTGTTGAATAAATTAATGAATAAAAATAATTTATTTATATAGATTAAAATAATTAGTTCAAGATATCTATTGTTCTTGTATAAAAGATTTCACTACATTTAATTTAGTCTAAATAATTATTTACACTTTTTTAATAATCTCTATTTCTCTACTTCTTTAAATTGTATTTTATTAATATTAGACTAATAATTCTTAACATTATCCTCTTCTCTATTTCATACCTGATTTCGAGGCTACAAATTCAGCTTAAGCATCACTTCCTCTTTTTTATTATTAATCTCTAGTTCTTATAGTATCCTGTAATGATTCATCATCTGCTGCTTTTTCTCTTGTTAAAGCCTACATGGCATTAAATATTTCATTAAGAGTAACATCATTATCCTAATTTGTTAATAAATGTTGAATACTCTAATAGCTTGCTCTTCTAAAGCAGTTTCTTCATCTACTGATGTTATTAAAGAATCTCTAACAATCTCCATTTTTTCAATAATAGTTTGAATTGATCTTGAATCCATCATGGAAGTTACCTGAACCAAAGCTAAAATTGGATTAGCAAGTCCACCATTTGCTAATTATACAAAGGAATTTGCAAAGGCTTCTTCTTAAACAAAAGACTATTTAAATTATATTAATTAAATTTATACTTCTGCATCTCTCGATTATACTTAATCATATAATTCATGCATTTTTGGAAGCATAACTTAAAATGCATTTATCATTTCTTTAAGCTAACCTAATCTTTTATTATAATTGGCTGATTATTTCAATCGTAAATCTCTCAAAGAATTTTCAGCACCTTAAAAAGTCTAAATGAATCTTCAAATTATTACATCTATTTAAGATTGCTTAAGCTCTAATTCACCTGTATAATCTTCAATATCTGATTCTAATCTTCCTACTTTGAATTCAACATCATTAATTTCATTTACTGCTAATTATACCCTTTAACTATAGCTGTCCATATCTGATTTACATTATGATTAAATGGCTGCATTAGATCCATCTTATTAAATTTATTTTCCCTTTTGATAAATGCATAATCTACTTCAAGATCACTCTTCAAATTTGTCAATAATGAAACTATACTATCGATACCCTCTCCACTTTTTATTTGTAAAGCAACTGTTTATAAAACCTTAGCTCCCAAAGGATTTTCTACAATTTCTTCTAAATCATCAAAACAGGGGTCATTATGCAAAATTTCTTGATTGGCTTGAAACTGTTCATCATCTTTCCTTCTTACTGCTCTTATTCCAATGAATACAATAAATAGAAGAAGTGTTTTCATTACTTATGAAAACGGATTATAATAATATAATAATTATATTAAAAATTCTTATAGTTTTTAGAAATTAACAATAAAAATTATAAGATAACAATGCAATTAAAAATTGATATATGTCTAGATAAAAAATCAGACAATAATAAAATGATATTTCATTTGAATATTACATTTTATTATCTATGAACACTTAATCATGGTACTAGAAAATATAAACTCGAAGTTCTTATTATATAGACCATTATTTAATTAAACAATCAATTTTATAAAAGTTGGGCTTATTTTCTGTGATAATTTTTAAAAGCTATTTCATATAACGATAAAAATCTACTGAAATATGGACATGTTATAGTTTTTACTTTTTTATGTAAAACATTATCATCATCTTACATCCATCTTAATTCATAATAGCATTAAGATAAATTCAAATTTTTTCTAGCTGCCATATATCTGTATAGAATATAAAGTAAGACTTCAACTTTTGAATCTTCAGGTTTAATTACATTTATAAAATGAGCTATTTAGCTTTATGAACGAGCTTATAAGAAAATATCAACAATTTATAAATCCAATTTTCCAATTAAATTAAATTTTAACCATGGCATTTTACAATTAACTATCCTATCAATTGTAGAAAATGTTTAATAGTAATAAAAATTTTAATTTTTTTAATCTGAACACTTTAAGTTTTATTCAATTGAATCTAACAATTCTATTTCAAATTCAACACTCAATATACTATCTACATATTCAGGAATCAATTATGACTTTAAAATTGCTGGAGACATATGCTCAGATTTCATTAAAGATTATTGGTTTTCATATTTGATTTGAATAGCAGTTGTAATCAATTTTTATATTAAGGGATTTATTTCTATAATATTTTTTTGATATATTTTTGATATCAATAAATATCTATCTGTAAATGAATCAATAGATGTACCAAATATTGATACTATATAATTTGAATAGACATATTCAATTATTAAATAACATAATTTGTAAAAACAGCTTAATTGATCTAAAAATATATTTGCCAATTGTTTATTTTCCTAAAATTATCTAATTATAATTTGATCAATATTTTTGCTTTAAGATATACTTTAATCTTATAATAATAGTTTCTCTTAAAACTTATAATTATCTGATAAACTACGCCGAATTTATGTATTTCGATTTAATTAAGCATTTACTCTAATATCTCCTGTCTTATATGTTGATATAGGTTTTAATTGCAAATTTTGATCTAAATCAAATAGTTCATTAAGAAATTAACTATAATGAAAGATTAGTTAATTATAAATATGTTTATCTTTTTTTGCAATATCTTTAGAGATATTTTTTGAAATAACTTATTTTTCTTCTTCAGTTGGATACAATCCTTTGATAGAAGAATCCAACATTTTTTAATTCATAAACTTTGATAATGACCTAATGTCTTTTTCAACNATGTCTAGATAAAAAATCAGACAATAATAAAATGATATTTCATTTGAATATTACATTTTATTATCTATGAACACTTAATCATGGTACTAGAAAATATAAACTCGAAGTTCTTATTATATAGACCATTATTTAATTAAACAATCAATTTTATAAAAGTTGGGCTTATTTTCTGTGATAATTTTTAAAAGCTATTTCATATAACGATAAAAATCTACTGAAATATGGACATGTTATAGTTTTTACTTTTTTATGTAAAACATTATCATCATCTTACATCCATCTTAATTCATAATAGCATTAAGATAAATTCAAATTTTTTCTAGCTGCCATATATCTGTATAGAATATAAAGTAAGACTTCAACTTTTGAATCTTCAGGTTTAATTACATTTATAAAATGAGCTATTTAGCTTTATGAACGAGCTTATAAGAAAATATCAACAATTTATAAATCCAATTTTCCAATTAAATTAAATTTTAACCATGGCATTTTACAATTAACTATCCTATCAATTGTAGAAAATGTTTAATAGTAATAAAAATTTTAATTTTTTTAATCTGAACACTTTAAGTTTTATTCAATTGAATCTAACAATTCTATTTCAAATTCAACACTCAATATACTATCTACATATTCAGGAATCAATTATGACTTTAAAATTGCTGGAGACATATGCTCAGATTTCATTAAAGATTATTGGTTTTCATATTTGATTTGAATAGCAGTTGTAATCAATTTTTATATTAAGGGATTTATTTCTATAATATTTTTTTGATATATTTTTGATATCAATAAATATCTATCTGTAAATGAATCAATAGATGTACCAAATATTGATACTATATAATTTGAATAGACATATTCAATTATTAAATAACATAATTTGTAAAAACAGCTTAATTGATCTAAAAATATATTTGCCAATTGTTTATTTTCCTAAAATTATCTAATTATAATTTGATCAATATTTTTGCTTTAAGATATACTTTAATCTTATAATAATAGTTTCTCTTAAAACTTATAATTATCTGATAAACTACGCCGAATTTATGTATTTCGATTTAATTAAGCATTTACTCTAATATCTCCTGTCTTATATGTTGATATAGGTTTTAATTGCAAATTTTGATCTAAATCAAATAGTTCATTAAGAAATTAACTATAATGAAAGATTAGTTAATTATAAATATGTTTATCTTTTTTTGCAATATCTTTAGAGATATTTTTTGAAATAACTTATTTTTCTTCTTCAGTTGGATACAATCCTTTGATAGAAGAATCCAACATTTTTTAATTCATAAACTTTGATAATGACCTAATGTCTTTTTCAACTATATTCTAATTAGAACCTATGACTATACCTTGTGAAATTATTTGAAGTAAAAGTCTTAACATTACTCTAAAAATTAAGTATTTGTTAGAATTAAATTCTATATAACATTTTTCTCCTTATTTGACTTTTTAAGAGTTGATTATTCTGATTTAGGAGTCTCTTCTAAATGACAATAATTTCCCATATAAATTATAAATATTTTATATTTAATATAGAATTAGTATAAAATTAATATACTTTACAAACACGAGATAGATTATAGATATGTTCATTCAAATTAAATTAGTTCTACTTCTTTTCGATTTGGTGAAACTGTCTATTATTCAATATTTCCTTATTTAAATTCAATAAATTAAGCACCAATATTGGTAGACATCATTTAACAAAATTCATCAAATGTAATCTTTTCATCGTGATTAGGATCGATTTCATAGATCATTTAATTTATTTTAGTGTCTGTTAAAGATTTTCCATGTCTAGCTAATATTTCTTAGATATTTTCTTTTGTTATATAGTTCCTGTTTTAAGTATCAAAATATTTAAATAAAGAAAAGAGCTTTTAAATATAAATACATATATACTTTATCTTTAGTAAGTACTTTTCGTTCATCTATGCAAGCCAATAAAAAATCACTATATTTTATAACTAAAGGTTTATAGGATTTAGCAGATGAACAATCTTCAGTCTCAACTTCATTTTCAAATCCTACAGCCATCATCAATGTTTTAATTTCTTCTTGTGATACTCTAGATCCCTTTGATATTGTTTAAATTTATTATTACTTCACTCAAAAATGCTTTTTACAATTCTTGATATGTAATAGTTCCAGAATTATCTCCATCTATTTTCGAGAAGACTTTCTTTAAATTTTCTAACTCTTTTTCATTCATTAAGTTTATAAGTACTTTCATTACTTCCTTCTTAAATTTTGCTCCATTTTTATAGTTCTTTAACATTTAATAAATAGATCGACAATCTTCAAAGTAATCACTTGGAGCTGTTTGTCTTAAAGTAGTTGCTTTAGTTTTAGATCGTCTTAATTAATTTTTGTCAACTCCTTCCAAAGACACATTAAACCATGGATCTTTTAAAAGATCTTTAGCAGTTGGTCTTAGAAGTGGATTCTTACATAATACTCTTTTTAAGAAAGTCTTAACTTCCTTTGACATAAAATTCCAATGTCTTCTGTCAAAAATTAACTTATTTTTTATTGTATATTTACTTCTTGATTTTATATATTAGAAAATAAATCCTTTTTATTACCAGCATAAAAAGGAGGATATCCACAAAGTAAATAAAAAAGCATTACTCCAAAACTCCATACATCACATTTATCACTATAATATCCATCAATCACTTCTGGTGCTACATATAATGGAGTTCCAACACAATTCATTCTGTTTCTATTTTATTAAATTCAGTAAATACTATTTATTTGTTTCATCTAACTCGATTGCCATTCCAAAATCTATAATTTTTGGTTCAGAATTCAAATCTTTTTTACTAAATAAAATGTTCTCTGGTTTAATATCTCTATGAATTATACCTTATTCATGCATATAAGCCATAGCTGAGAGTACCTATTAATCAATTTAAAATAAATACTTTGATAGCTATTTTTTAACATTATTTTTCTGTTAATGAACTTTAATGTTATGGAATTCTCTTTAAAAGTTCTCCTCCTCCACAATATTCCATACAGATGTAGAAATTCATATTGTTTTAATAAACTTCGTAAAATTTTACAATATTTGGATGATCAAGTTTTTAAAGAACATATATTTCATTAGATAATTATGTTTCTTTTCCTTATAACTTAGCTTTTTCTACAATCTTTATTGCAAATAATTTTTCATCATTTGATTTCATCTTAGCCATCATTACCTTTCCAAATACTCCTAAGCCCATCATTTTCCCAAAAGTATAAATTTGATGAATATCTGTTGTAGATGTAAATATATTCACACCATTAGATGTCTTGATGACTTAAATCTTATTTAGTTTATTTGATTTTATACAACAACCCATTTAATTTAATTAATACATATATTTGAGTAAAATTTATTGCTTTAAAGATTTGATGGATTTTGATTTTAATTATACTTTTTTTTTAATAATTAGATATTGAAATAATGAATAAATAAAGATAAAAGTTCATTTTTCTTCCTCAATCCATATTTTAATTACAAATAATTTTTATTATTATTAGTATCAATAATTAATTATACAGAAATTTATCAATAGTTGTATTATTAGCAATATTTTGATATCATACATTATTTAAAAATAGGTGATAGTTTAAGAATGAGACAAAAGAATTAAATTATAGATTGGTAATTAAAAAATATTAAAGAATACTATGAAACATAATTTAATTATGTTGAAGAACTAAATTAATGAAAATAATAAATAATATAATGTAATTTTAATGGATATATTAATCCTTTCTCAAATTAAATAGAATAATAATAAGATGTATATTATTAATTCTAGTCTAACACTATAATTATCTGTTAAATTTATTGATTCATTATTTGAACCTGATTAATTTGTTGTATTATTAGTTTATGTGTTTCCACCTTTGCATGAAACACATTTGTTTTGGCTTACATTCCAATAATATGTATATTGTGACAATGTAAAGCAATTTTCAACCTTTAGATCTACAGATGGATCTCCTTCTATACACTTTTTTTAAGTATCACTCCAATTACAGAAAGTAATTGTTTCAGATTTTCCATCAGAACTAGAAGTCTTGAATGGATTACATAGACCTTTAGTTGTCACTTACTAATTTTTTCCATAACAGTCCATATTTTTGCATTCAGAATCAGTTGTAGTTGTACCATTTGTAACAGATGGAACAAAATAACAATTACTCATTTTTTCACATTTAGCCTAATTAGAAGAAGCATTTGAACAAGCATTTAATTCTAAACATCCATCAGTTGTACTAGAAACCTTTCCAAGTCTCCATACACATTCCTTCTTATCTGCTTATTTATTAAGATTACAAATTGCTTCTTTTTTATAAAGAGAACATTTATCAATAGCAATACAAGCTTTTGCTTCAGGATCATAAGCACAACCAGCTTTATCACACTCATCTTAACCAGTCACATTAGAGTAATCAGTACATACTTTATTTCTGCATGTTGATTTTTCTTTATCATAAAAGCAAGGAGTATTTTTTAATCCTAAAACACAATTTTTATCTGTGTAACTACTACACTCTCCAATATTCATACATTTAGTTCCATCTGTAGTACATGATGTTGATAATTTGTTGCAAGCTTCATGAGTTGCACCTGTACCCTTTTCACAAGTCCAAAGACTACAAGCATCATCTGACCAAGCACATTTTCCATCTATGCCTCCAAGATCACATATTTCCTTAGTAGTAGCATCTGAGCAATTTTTTATAGCAACACAAGTTTTACCATCTGTTGTACAAGTAGGACTATACTTTTGACATTCAGCATGAGTTAATAATTCAACATCAGTACATTAACCAAATGTTTTACAAGCTGTTGCTTTAGCATCATAACCACAAACTTTATCATCTATTCCTATACTACCAATACAATTTTTTTCTTCTTTAATTACAGTACATGGTGTTTTAGAAACACATGTATTACCTCCATTAGAATAGCATTTATTTGATAATAATTTACAAATTTCTGTTTCACTAGCAATTTATTCAGCAGTTTTAACTTCATTTTCTTTGGCAGGTGTTAATGAATAATCAGAACATTTATTATACATTATACATATTTTATTAGTAGAATCCCAAATACATGCATTTGATGCAGAATCTTATAAACATAAACTAGCCGTTCTAAGTGTTGAACAAGTATAATTAGTCTTATCTTTACATCCATTTATATTATCATATTCACAATTAGCCCCATAGACTGCACAAGTCTCTTTATTTTTCACATTTTAAATAGTATTACAAGTAGCTTAAACACATGCAGCACCATTCCAAGTGCAGAATACAGAAGATTCAGATGTTAATGAATTTTCACATTCTGTTTATGATTTTACTCCATTACAAGCAGCAACCTTTTTTTAACATTTTTATATCTTTGCACTGTAAAAACATATATTTGAATAAGCATTACATTATTGATCATTAGTTACTGATATAGCATTAGCACAATCTTTAGATTTACATTTATCTTCAGCTTTATTTGCATCATCTGCTGTACATTTTCCATCTGTTCCAAAATATTTTTCACAAGTACTTTTAATACCATTATAAGTATCACAAGTTGATAATATTGCAATACATCCTTAACCTCTAGTAACACAACCTGCAAAGTATTTATTACATTCTTCATTTGTAGATAGGGTAGCTGGAGCAGTAGCACATGATTTAGTAATACATTTAGAAGAATCATTTGGATTAGTTGTACATGCTTTAGCATTACTAGAAATCATATTATCACAATTTGATGTATAATTTTCACAAGTTTTCAAGTCTTTAACACAATTTACTCCATCAAATTTACAAGTTGAATTTCCAGCTGGACAAGTTAGAGCTGATGGTGATGTGATTTTATCACAAGTAGCTATTGTACATTTGGTAGATCCTTCAGTAGAATCATCCATACATTATCCATCAGATCCTTTAAGTGATGAACAACTTTCTTCTTTTAAATAAGAATCACAAGTATTTAAATTATCTACACATTTAAGTCCATTGGTTTTACAAATAATTGCAGGTGCTACATTTTGACTTGAATATTTATTGCATTCTTCATCTGTAGTAAAAGTTTAAGCATTGCAAGAATCTAATTCACATGTTGATATTGATCCTTCCTTTAATTTACATTTACCTTCCTTACTAATATATTATTCACAGCTACTACCTTCAGATACTGTGATAAGAGAACAAGTATTTTCTAAACTCTTTACACAAGATACTCCATTTGTTATACAAGTAGGTGCATCAGTTCCTGAATATTTACCACATTCTTCATTTGTTGTTTTAGTTTAACTTGTACATTAATCAAGACCACATTTTTCAGTATCTGTAGATTTACACTTTCCTTCTTTAGTAAATATATTATCACAATTTCCAGTAGTATAACTATCACATTTATCAACTAAGGCTAATACACAATAAGCTCCATTTGTTATACATAATGGATCTTTAGTCTTACAAGCTTCATCTGTACCTTCTGTATAATCTTCACATTTAGGATCTCTACAAGTAGGTGTTTCACCTGATGTTAATATACAAGTTCCTTTATTTCCTTTCACTTGTGTACAATCAGTAACAGAATATGTTGAACAAGAAGGTAAAGTTTAGAAACAAGTCAAATTATTTGTAATGCATCCTTTTAAATATGAATCACAAGCAGTATCAGTTTTTGAATCTGTAGCACCTTCACATGTTTTTGATTAACATTTAGTTTTATCACTACTTTTTAATTCACATGGTCCATTCAATGCATTTACACTTAAACATAATTCTGCTGTATATGCATCACAATTAACTAATTAAGATAAACATTTTTTTTTATCACTTACACATTTAGCATCTTATAATGCAGCTGCACAATCAGCATCTGTTGTTTTTTCATAATCTGAACATTTTTTTGTTGAGCATTTATTATCAGTAGTATCAAATTTACACCATTTATCCCCATTTAATTAAGTTACACTTTCACATTCAGTTTATTAACCTTCTCCACTATACTAACTACATACATCACTTGAAGTGCATGTTTTTAATTCTTTATTGTAATTACATCTAGAAGAATACTTTTAACATNGAAATCATATTATCACAATTTGAAGTATAGTTTTCACAAGTTTTCAAGTCTTTAACACAATTTACTCCATCAAATTTACAAGTTGAATTTCCAGCTGGACAAGTTAGAGCTGATGGTGATGTGATTTTATCACAAGTAGCTATTGTACATTTGGTAGATCCTTCAGTAGAATCATCCATACATTATCCATCAGATCCTTTAAGTGATGAACAACTTTCTTCTTTTAAATAAGAATCACAAGTATTTAAATTATCTACACATTTAAGTCCATTGGTTTTACAAATAATTGCAGGTGCTACATTTTGACTTGAATATTTATTGCATTCTTCATCTGTAGTAAAAGTTTAAGCATTGCAAGAATCTAATTCACATGTTGATATTGATCCTTCCTTTAATTTACATTTACCTTCCTTACTAATATATTATTCACAGCTACTACCTTCAGATACTGTGATAAGAGAACAAGTATTTTCTAAACTCTTTACACAAGATACTCCATTTGTTATACAAGTAGGTGCATCAGTTCCTGAATATTTACCACATTCTTCATTTGTTGTTTTAGTTTAACTTGTACATTAATCAAGACCACATTTTTCAGTATCTGTAGATTTACACTTTCCTTCTTTAGTAAATATATTATCACAATTTCCAGTAGTATAACTATCACATTTATCAACTAAGGCTAATACACAATAAGCTCCATTTGTTATACATAATGGATCTTTAGTCTTACAAGCTTCATCTGTACCTTCTGTATAATCTTCACATTTAGGATCTCTACAAGTAGGTGTTTCACCTGATGTTAATATACAAGTTCCTTTATTTCCTTTCACTTGTGTACAATCAGTAACAGAATATGTTGAACAAGAAGGTAAAGTTTAGAAACAAGTCAAATTATTTGTAATGCATCCTTTTAAATATGAATCACAAGCAGTATCAGTTTTTGAATCTGTAGCACCTTCACATGTTTTTGATTAACATTTAGTTTTATCACTACTTTTTAATTCACATGGTCCATTCAATGCATTTACACTTAAACATAATTCTGCTGTATATGCATCACAATTAACTAATTAAGATAAACATTTTTTTTTATCACTTACACATTTAGCATCTTATAATGCAGCTGCACAATCAGCATCTGTTGTTTTTTCATAATCTGAACATTTTTTTGTTGAGCATTTATTATCAGTAGTATCAAATTTACACCATTTATCCCCATTTAATTAAGTTACACTTTCACATTCAGTTTATTAACCTTCTCCACTATACTAACTACATACATCACTTGAAGTGCATGTTTTTAATTCTTTATTGTAATTACATCTAGAAGAATACTTTTAACATTCAGCATTTGAATTACCCAAATATGATTAACAATCTCCCATCATAATACATTTATTTTCAGAAAATACACAACCTTATTACTTTGAACAAGTTTTTGAATCTGTACAAAGCTTTGATACAAATCTTGTTGTTGTTGTTGTTGTTTCTGGTTAGCAATTTTTAGCTGTACTATCCCATTTACATTTAGAGTTTAAAAGACAATCACTTTGAGCTTAAATTGTAGTACATTGGCAAACATCATTTGAATTTACACTTAAGCTGTTCACTTAAAACAATAGTAATGTTATTGAGATCAATATGAATTTCATGATTTAAAATAAAATATGAATTATTTTTGAATTAGTTCTCCTTTTATACTAATTTTCAATCAATTCTGTAATTTAAGTAATTTTTTAGTCTATTTAATATAAAAGTATACTTTTTGCTTAATATAACTATTTCTTTAAGAAGTTTTTATAATTTTTAAGATACATATAAATATGTATTCTATTAAAAATTGTCTACTTTATTTTTGACTTCTAATTATACTGATTTATTAAATGTCTAATCTGAGCTTTATTATTAGAAATTATTAACAAAAATATCATTTTTATTTTACTTTTTCATATTGTTTTATAAAATATATAATTTAAAGAAAAATACTTTAGAAATTAAATAAATATTATAGTAAAAATTAATATGAATATTTTATAGTAAGGAAAATAGTTCAATTATTAAATATCATTTAGAAAATCAATTTATTGACTCATTGCTTATATCATTATGATTATTAAAATTTAAAGTTCTCTTTTATCTACTACCTCTTCGAAACATTAAATGAGTTTTTGGAGGTTCAAAGTAGTCACTATTTAAATTAGGCCTTTCTTATGGACTTTTTGATATTATATTAAATTGTTTTCTAATTGGAATCACTTTTACATCTTTAACTACTTTTGGAGACATTTATTATTACTTTGTAGTTATTCTAAACATAGCTTAATTTTAATTTAATGTTCCAAGAAATTAAATAGGAATATTTCTATTAGTCATTTAACTTTCTTTATCAAAAAATGGATGTTATAATAATTATTAACATGTCCTAACTTTAGATCCTTAATTAAAAATTATAGACAAAAAATCAAAACATTAATCTGATAAAGGAGGATCAAGGAATTAAAAATCAGTAGTTCCTTAAAATTTATTCATCAAAGCATCATCAAGTGCTTAATCAAAATGTAATTAATTTCCAGTTAATAAATTATGCATTACAATTCCTAAAGCAAGTACATCAAGTTTGATATAATATTATCTCTGTTTCTCTATATTTACCTATAAATATTGATAATCATCTTATTCTAGATTAGAGTGTTGTTCTGCATGAGTAAGACCAATTAAACAAGGATTAGATAAATCATCTCTCTATTTCAGAATAACATTTGAAGTACAAATTTATTTATGATATATATTGATATCATGTAGATATTAGACTGCTTAAAATAGAGGTTTCATAACAATTAATACTTACTCTTCTTTTAAAGGTTGTGAATTTTAGTAAAATTATGATAGCTTTTATCCTTTTAAGTATTCTTCTAACAAATAAATATGATTATTGCTTTCAAAAACTTCATAAAATTGGAGTAAATGAGGATGTTCCAATTATCGAATTATTTTCAGCTCTTTAAGAAACTTCTTTGATTCATAATTATTAGTTAACAATCTTTTTTTATCGAATACTTTAACAGCAAACTCTTATTTACTTATCTTATTCTTTGCTCTATATACCTATCAATTAAATTAAAATAAGATATACTATTGTTGAATATCCTTCCCCCAATTTGTTAAAGAGTTAATACTTTTAACCAAAATCTAATTATATAGTGTACTTCTTCATTAAATTGATCCATTCATCCAATTAACCAAACATTTCAAAACTTAAGCCATTTTTACTTAGCTTAACCCCAAACAGTCCTGTTTTTGGATGAACTATTTTTTACATACAAACATCAGTTAAATTAATATATTTCTATTTATGATTAGATATTTCTTTACATCTTCTCCTAATTTAATAAAATTTTGGCATATAGACAACTATTTGATTATTAACCTGTTTTGATTACTAATCTAAAATTCACTTGAATATTGTGCTATAAATGGATCAGGACAAGATTTTTGAAATAAAGAAGTATGATTATTGAAAAAGGAATCAACTGAACAAATTTATAAAAGTTATTGCTTTATCATAATATATTAATTGTTATAAAATCAATTAATTGAGAGTCTATAATAATTTACTATTCTTTATTTAATAGAAAAACATATCCAAGATATCAATTATAAACATTTAGAAAATATATGATTATTTTTATTAGAAATATTAATTATTTGGATATTTTATTATATCTAAAAGCATTCTCTTAAGAAAAATTATTAGCTATTTATATTAATATATTATTATTGGTTGATTGTGAAATAATTTTAAATTAAAATTTTAATTTATATATACTTTATCTCTTAAGAAATTGTAAATTTAATGTGAAAATAACAAAAATTTAGTCCTTTTCTATCTTATATATTAAAAAGGAAATTATGAAGAAATGAATTTAATTTATGTCCAGTTTTCTAACATAATGTAATTTCTATTATCATTACCAAATTTAAAAATTATTAAACTTAATTTAATTTAAGAAACTTTACTATAAACATTCAGTCTTTTATTATTCTTGTTTAATCTAATTTTATTTGATGATGTTTGAGAATTGTAAACTAACTCTAAATCACTTATTTCTTAAATCAAGAAACAACTTTTTATTGTGATATTATATATTAAATCTTTACTGTATTTAATATGACATCCTCCAAGATATTTCATTTTCATGATTAATCTGTTAATTATTTGAGTTAATCAAATATATATATAGAATAAAACATTATATAAGGTATTTGAATATAAAACTAAGAGGAATCATTTAAAAAAAATAAATTTAATATTAGTATTTGTTATTTAAGATACAATTTTTTAATAAATATAAATGGGAGATGGATATTATCAATTAATAATCAAAAAGAAGTTCTATTTTTAAATTAAATTAATTGAATTTTTAGTTTTTCATGATCTGAGTTAATTTTGAATAGAATTAAATTTTTTATTTAATAATGAATACTAATTACAAAAACTTTATGTTATTTTTAGAATCTTTTAATACATGAAAATAGAATAAGATATATTTTATATAATATTTAGTTTAATAAGTAGATAAATAAAATTTCTAAATAATTTTATTTAATATGAGATAGCAATTGATATGTGCTAGAATTATAAATAAATAAAAATAGAATAACTTCAATTTTTTTAATAAAATAACAATTAATATTAGATCTTATCTTCTTGAATTTTTTAATGTTATTGCAAAATATGAATTGAATGATGTCTGTTTAAATTTGTCAAATATTATAATATTTTTTATTATGAAATTGGAGTTAAAACATAAAAAAACTCAAAAATCTATATTGAGATAAAAATTTATTAGATTATTATTCAATGTTTTTAGGGGTAATTTATGTGTTTAGAATTGACTTTATAAAACAAAACTTAAATTATAATGCCACTTATTTTGAGTTATTATATATATTTGTATTTTTTATTAAGCTTTATTAACAAATAGGAAGTGTACTTGGGTATTACAAAATAAAAATTCCAAGAATTTATGAATTATAATTATAAATAAAAAGCCTCACATAGAAGAAATACATTTTAAATCTTTTATTAAAAATATATTTTAAAAAAAAATATTATGGCTGACTTGAAAGAAAAGAAAGTAGAAGATGAATAACAAGTGAAAAAAATTAGAATGATTGTTACATCCAGAAACGCTTAAGATTTAGAAAATTTCACTACTTAAGTCATTGAAAAGGCTAGAGGAATTTAAGTAATAAATAAATTTCAACATTAAGAGAGATTAAGGATAACAAGTTGTATTCAAAGGACCAGTTAGAATGCCAACAAAACACCTCAAAATGACTGTCAGAAAGAGTCCATGTGGTGAAGGTTCAAAGACTTGGGATAGATTTGAAATGAGAGTAATACAATTATATAAGGATTAGATTCATAAAAGAGTAATTGATTTCTAATGCACATTGCCAACTTTCAAAGATATAACCAACTTCAAGATTGGCCCAGGAATTAATGTTGAATTAAACGTAGAATAATGATTCGTGACATTATAAGAAATAATACATTAAACATTAATACATTAATTTATATATCAAGACACTCAAAAAACTTTATTAATAATATCATTGGATTGTAGTGATTATTTTTTAATGCAAAATATTTGTTAATTAAACAATATACAAATATTAAGTATCAAAAGTCATACTGTCCAAGAAACTAATTATAAATTATATACTTAATTCAATGAGTGATATCAAATGGTATTATTTTATTTGAATAATTCAAAGTTTTTTATATATCTGGTTTAAGATATAATATTTTAATAATAATTATTTTTGATTTATTAAATTTGTAAAAAAAGAATTATTGTCTAATGGATGATTATTTTTAGACCATTTAATATACTATATTATTTGTAAATCTATTTATGATTGTAAGTTTATATCAATATGAATGTCCAAATTAGTATAAGGATGTATAAACTCGAAAATTAATCTTTAATTAATTAGTCAAGGATCTACAATTTTCTGTGACTTACTTATAAATAATTCTTATGATTTAATATATATTCTATTGATTCCATGGTTATTAAAATTAAATTAATTATTTGATAAATTGAGATAATTCTTTCTTGAAATTTTAGTTCACAATAGTTTATAAAATAAGAGTTTAAAATAAACAAACATGAGACTATTTAATTGAAACTTAAAACTTAAAGTATGATTATTTATAAATTTAATTCTAAAAAATGTATAAAATAGTATAAAAATTATAATGCAGAAAATATAAATTAATAATAAAATATTATATATAATTTGCATATTATAAATTGCATAAATAAAAACAATTATTCTATATTATTAAACAATTCTTGTTGAGTTAATTTAATAATATTTTTCAAATGTTACAATTATGATATACTACAAAGGATTCAATTTAATATATATAATTATCAATTATTATCTCTATATTACAATAATAATTTGATATAATTGATAGATATGATTAGTATTATTGATATTTGTATTTGTAATTTAAATGGTACTCTTGATATTTATTGATGATACCATAGTAATTTTAGTAGCTTTATCTTTTGCCTATAATAATTCTATTATTTAAGTGTAGCTGGCAAATTATTAAGTTTTATTGTCAATTGGCATATAATCTATGAGCATATTTATGCAAGAGATTGACTTAGGTATTAGTTATAGACAACGTGGCCGAGTGGTTAAGGCGGCAGACTAGAAATCTGTTGGGGTTCCCCGCGTCAGTTCGAATCTGGCCGTTGTCGATTTTTTTTGTTAAATTAAAATCATAAATTTTATATCTAATTTAATCAATTTTAGGTTTAAGGAAAAGCATAAATTATTATATATTATAATATGTTAAGGTTTATTGGAAGGAATCTGAATCGTTATAATTTTTCAGAATTACAAAAATTTGGTAATTCATTTCTTGGTGGTTCTAATGCAGAATTTTTGGACAATTTATTAGATAGATGGTCTCAAGACCCAAATTCTGTTCCAGCAACTTGGGATGCATATTTTAGATAAGTATGTGAATCTAACAAATTTGATTTTACACCAGAACCTTAAAAGGGTTAAACAATCTCATTTTAAGCAGATGTATAGATGCATTTAATTTCTAAGCAAGTATCAAGTGTTAGAAAATTGTTATCAGATCATTTTAGAGTGAGATTATTAATCAACAAATATAGACATAGAGGTCATGAAAAATCAATGGTTGATCCTTTAGATTTAGAACACATATAGCAAATAGGAAAAGTTAAGGGATATACAAAATTGGATTATCGTGAATATTTTACAGAAGAAGATTTAGATAGAGAATTTTATATTCATGATGAAGTAAGTTCAGGTGTATCCAAAGAAAAATAACGTAATGATTTGATTATTTATGTAGTAATGAAATTAAGAGATTTAATAAATTATTTAGAGAAGGCATATTGTGGTAAAATATCTTATGAATATATGCATATATAATCAACAGAGGAAAGGAATTGGATTAGAGAATAGATTGAGAAGTTTGAAGAATTTCTACCTTCAAAGGAGTAAAAATTGAAGACTTTTGAAAGGTATAGCATTATATATAATATTAATTAGACTTGGATAAGAACATGCATTTAGTACATTTTTACAAAAGAAATTTAATACTTCAAAGAGATTTGGTATTGAAGGATGTGATTCAATGATTTCAGGATTATAAGCTATGGTTGATAGTGCTGCATAAGCAGGAGTAGAATATATAGTATTTGGAATGGCTCATAGAGGAAGATTGAATACTTTGTATAATGTTTTTTAAAAATCAGCAGAAGAAATTATGGTTGAATTTTAAGATTTAAAAGGAATATTTAATGAAGACATATGGGGTAATTCTGGAGATGTAAAATACCATTTGGGAAGTGTACACAATGTTAAATTTGGTGAAAAAAAACTAAGATTAGAAATGCTACCAAATCCTTCACATTTAGAAACTGTAGATCCTTGTGTTTATGGAAAAGTTAGAGCTATATAAGATTATCATAAAGATAAAAATGGAGACAAGGCATTTGGAGTATTAATTCATGGAGATGCTGCAGTTGCTGGTTAAGGCATTGTATATGAGTCATTACAAATGGCAGATTTAGAAGGATATAAATCAGGTGGTATAATTCATATAGTTTCAAATAATTAAATTGGATTTACTACAGTACCCAAAGACAGTAGATCAGGTTTATATTGCACAGATATTGCTTATGCTATTTAAGCACCTGTTATTCATGTCAATGCTGATGAACCTGAATTAGTAGATAAAGTATTTTAAGTTGCAACACTTTATAGAACTAAATTCAAAAGAGATATCTTTATTGATTTGGTTGGGTATAGAAGATATGGTCATAATGAATAAGATTAACCTAAATTTACTTAACCTATAATGTATGATAAGATTGAGAAAACTCCACCTGTTTTTATTAAATTTGCTGATAAATTGATTGCTTAAGGAATAGTAACAAAAACAGAAGTAGATTAATTGATGAAGAAACATGAGGATAATCTAGAAGTAGCATATCAAAAATCAAGGAAAATGGACTATAATTTGAAAGATTGGTAGCCAGTACCTTGGGAAATGATAAAAGTGCCAACACTTTGGGGTAGAATAAAAGATACTGGAGTTCCAGTTACTATTTTGAAATAAATTGGAGAGAAAATAAATACAATTCCTTCTGATTTTAATGCTCATCCATAAATTCGTAAATTTTATGAAGAAAGGCTAAATTGGATATAGAAAGATCAAGGTGTTGATTTTGCAACAGCTGAAGCTTTAGCATTTGGAACATTACTTCATGAAGGATTTAATGTCAGATTATCTGGTGAGGATGTTTAAAGAGCTACATTTTCTCATAGACATGCTGTTATTCATGATTAAAAAAATCCAAATGGTCCTTCATATGTTCCTTTACATAAAGTCATACCAAAAGGTTAAGAAGATAGATTAAGCATTTATAATTCTCATTTATCAGAATATGGAGTATTGGGATTTGAATATGGATATTCTATTACTAATCCAAATACATTAGTACTTTGGGAAGCTTAGTTTGGTGATTTTGCTAATGGAGCATAAATTATTATTGATAATTATATTGCAAGTGCTGAATCTAAATGGGATGTTGATAGTGGATTAGTTATGTTATTACCAAATGGTATGGATGGATAAGGACCAGAACATAGTTCAGGAAGAGTTGAAAGATTTTTATAATTAAGTGATGATGATCCTGCTGTTTTTGAAAGAAATCTAGGAGGTAATTTATTATAATTATGTATCAAGTTCGACTTAAGAGACAAATGAGAAATTCAAATATGTAAATTGTTTAATGTACTACACCTGCTAATTATTTCCATTCTTTAAGAAGATAGTTAAGAAGAGATTTCAGAAAACCTCTTATTGCTATGACTTCCAAAAGACTTTTAAGACTCTAAGCTGCCAAATCTAAATTAAATGAATTTTCTGAATAAGCCAGATTCTCATAAATTTATGATGATCCTTTCCCTGAATAAATTAATGAACCTAATGAGATCTAAAGAGTTATCTTATGTTCAGGACAAGTTTATTATGATATTCTTAAAAAAAGAGAGGATCTAAAAGTTAAAGTAAAATATTGTTCTTATTAAGAATACTGCTATTGTGAGAATTGAATAATTAGCACCTTTCCCATACGAATTCTTATANTGATAAGATTGAGAAAACTCCACCTGTTTTTATTAAATTTGCTGAAAAATTGATTGCTTAAGGAATTGTAACAAAAACAGAAGTAGATTAATTGATGAAAAAACATGAGGATAATCTAGAAGTAGCATATCAAAAATCAAGAAAAATGGACTATAATTTGAAAGATTGGTAGCCAGTATCTTGGGAAATGATAAAAGTACCAACTCTTTGGGGTAGAATAAAAGATACTGGAGTTCCAGTAACTATTTTGAAATAAATTGGAGAGAAAATAAATACAATTCCATCTGATTTTAATGCTCATCCATAAATTCGTAAGTTTTATGAAGAAAGACTCAATTGGATATAGAAGGATCAAGGTGTTGATTTTGCAACAGCTGAAGCTCTAGCATTTGGAACATTACTTCATGAAGGATTTAATGTCAGATTATCTGGTGAGGATGTTCAAAGAGCTACCTTTTCTCATAGACATGCTGTTATTCATGATTAAAAAAATCCAAATGGTCCTTCTTATGTACCTTTACATAAAGTTATACCAAAAGGTCAAGAAGATAGATTAAGCATTTATAATTCTCATTTATCAGAATATGGAGTATTAGGATTTGAATATGGATATTCTATTACTAATCCAAATACATTAGTACTTTGGGAAGCTTAGTTTGGTGATTTTGCTAATGGAGCATAAATTATTATTGATAATTATATTGCAAGTGCTGAATCTAAATGGGATGTTGATAGTGGATTAGTTATGTTATTACCAAATGGTATGGATGGATAAGGACCAGAACATAGTTCAGGAAGAGTTGAAAGATTTTTATAATTAAGTGATGATGATCCTGCTGTTTTTGAAAGAAATCTAGGAGGTAATTTATTATAATTATGTATCAAGTTCGACTTAAGAGACAAATGAGAAATTCAAATATGTAAATTGTTTAATGTACTACACCTGCTAATTATTTCCATTCTTTAAGAAGATAGTTAAGAAGAGATTTCAGAAAACCTCTTATTGCTATGACTTCCAAAAGACTTTTAAGACTCTAAGCTGCCAAATCTAAATTAAATGAATTTTCTGAATAAGCCAGATTCTCATAAATTTATGATGATCCTTTCCCTGAATAAATTAATGAACCTAATGAGATCTAAAGAGTTATCTTATGTTCAGGACAAGTTTATTATGATATTCTTAAAAAAAGAGAGGATCTAAAAGTTAAAGTAAAATATTGTTCTTATTAAGAATACTGCTATTGTGAGAATTGAATAATTAGCACCTTTCCCATACGAATTCTTATAAGCTGTTATATAAAAATATAAGACAGCTCATTTCGTTTGGGTTTAAGAAGAACATCAAAATTATGGACCTTGGTCATTTGTTAGGCCAAGAATTTAAAGTGTTATCTCAAAAACCTCAGGTTTATTACAATAATAAGTTCAATATGTCGGCAGAAAACCAAGTGGATCACCAGCTACTGGATTCCATTAACTTCATGAAAAAGAAGTCCAAGCCTATTTAACAAAGGCTTTTGAATTCTGATAAATTGTTAAAAATTAAAATAACAATTATAAATACAGATAAATTAATTCATCATTATATTTATATTGTTAGATTGTTTCTTCAAATAATAATAAATTTTATTGATATAAATAATTATTATGGAATCTTAGTTTTTTAATTTAAATATTTTATCTAATAAATATTCTTTTGTGTCTATTTAGCCATAATTCTTTGTTATAATGAATCTAATTTAATTAAAATTTCAATTAATAATAATCATTAAAAAAAATAGATTGTTTACATAAATTAAAAAAATTTATAACTATCAATCCTTAACTAGAGACTAGTTTTTAGATTTATTACTAAATTAATTTTAATTCTCACTTTATAAGAAAGTATTTAGGCAGGGGAATTCACAAAAGGAAACAAAAAAATCTAATATTATTCCATACTCTTATAAAAGATAAAGAGCAGATACAATTTAAGAATGATTTTAAATTGTTCTATACACAATTAGGAAGAATTCATTAAATTTATATGGTATCTAATTAATTATGAATTTATTTAGTATATACACAAAATCATAATCTTCTTATCTTTTCTATACCAGAAATTACATAATTTGTAATCTTTATGATAGCTTATTCCTTTTTTTATTGTAAATTTTAGTATGAATTATGAGCACAATGTCCGAAGATTTTAATTATTTGATATCCTTATCTTAAATTACATTCTCGAGGTTATTTGTGTTTTATTAGTTTTGGCTTTTATCTATAATGGTAAATTGGTTAAGAAGAAATGTTTTCTTATGCATATTTCTCAAAATTATTTTGTATTTAGATATCTTATTCTCCTTTAGTAGATGAGTTTTATTCATTAGTCACCTAATTTTCTTTTACTTAATTAGGCTATATATTTTGATTAATAATTTCTTCATCATCAGATGCAAAATTGAAATCAATAATAGAGGTATCAGAATTTGTATCATCCATTTCTTTGAGCAAATCGTCCATTTTTAATTAAATAATGTTAGAACTTCTTAATATTTCTTTGGCTTAAAAAATAAAGAAAGAGAATAAACTGAAAATTATGTAATAAAAATTTTATTTTAAGAAATACTCATAAGAAGAAACGTAATTTATCTTCAATAAGATTTGCAAAGAAATTTTTAAATATTTTTACTTAAATTTATCTTTGATCAGATTATCATTTTTTCATATTAAATTTAAATTGTATTTTCTACAATTTAAATCAATAAAATAAGAGCTTTACTAGACTTTGTAGGAAACCAACAATAAAAGAGTTTAATAATTAAGAGATCAAATATGAAAGTCTAATTGAGCTTCCTAATATTCAACTAGATAACTATATTATTTAGTAAATAATAGCTATTTCTTTTATTTGAAAAGGCATTATATGCATAAAAATAGGATTTCTTAAACTAAAAGATCAATTTATCAATTTTTTATATTTAATTTTTTTGTTTAACATAACATACTTAAACCTTTGATTAGAATAATTAAACCAATTTTTTAATATTAGACTATGTAGATATTTTTTAGTATTAAGTCTTTATAATTTCACTAAAATACATATAAAGAACAAAGAAAGACTTAAGAATGAAGGAATAAAAATTTGTTGAAATACTTAATGATAATATTAAACTAAGTTTATGATGTTACAAATTAAAAGTGAAGTCTCTCACTTTAAATAAAGAGATATGAATATAACTATTTAATTCATACTTTGCAACAACAGCATGTTTTATCTCTAGCTTTCATATTACGGGAGGTGATATGTTAATTTAAATGAGCATAACATTATGATGACCATAGCTTCACATCTAGTTAATATAACTTTTTTGATTGGTCTGGATTGAAATCTAGAGCCTCAAGTACAGTCTCCAAATATCTTAATGATGATGAAAATTGTAGTTCTAAATGAAGACCTTCAAGTGTCTTTTTAATATATTTATTAATACCTTTATATCCTTATATAAAGTATTAGCAACATTTTCTGGAGTAGTATTATATATCTAATAAAAGTCTTATGCAGTAAAGTTGATTAAGATTAGGTTATTCAAAATAGTATTTAGACATGACATCATTTCTTCAAACATATTTAAGAAGTTTTCAAGCAATTTGAGTTTCTCAGAGATTGGCATCAAACCTATCATTTAATGATATTTAATAACCTGCCATATTTTCCATAAATCTTTATTCTGAATATTAACCATAAAATTCTAAATATTGAATTTTGTTCTTCTCAATAATCTCATATGATGATTAACTAGGTTCACTAGGAACCACAGAGAAATGTGCCTTAGATGTTTGAGATTAATGGAGTCTTTAAACAGTAGTCTAATCAGGATCTACTATTGAAACTCCATTTTAAGTGTTTGATGGAAATATTTTTTTCATTAAAATTATTTTTATTAATATACTTGTTAAAACAAAATGATGAATAATCATTCAATAAATCCTAAAACATTTAATCAGTTATTAATGCATGATAAGTTAATAAATATTAAACTGTTTTATTTTCAGTACCAAAAGATAATCTATAACTTTTAATTTTTATTTAGAATATACCACTATTTATAAATCCAAGAATTTTTAATTCAGATATAAATAAAATTACTATAAAGGATATTTATTAATATATTATAAAACTTATTATTAAAACTTAGAATAGAGCTTAATAAACACTAATTTATTAAGTTGGATGATAAAATATTTATGTCTGCTATAAATTATGAATATAAATCTAAATATTTAATTATCATGGTTTTTAATAAAAATTTTGAATTTTGTATATATTTTTTTATTATTCAATAACTTTGGAAATTTAAATATCAATTAGATTTTAATGTCAAAATAGAATTATTCATAAAATATAAGATAGTTTAGAACTTTAATGAGATGATGATATCTAAGAATTTTCTAATTTTCTATTAAAATCATATGTAATATTGAATAATTATCTTTAATTCTTTGGTTTCTTTGTAAATATAAGGATATTAAGTTAATTTGAGTATTACTTTCATATTTATTTTATAAACGAGCATAAAATTCAGATATGTAATAAAATCTAATCCCTTAATCTTTGTCTGTATTTTAAATATAATATGATTTCATAAGCTTTTTCATATTGTTCATTTGAGATATCTGAAATAATTTATTATGTCATTTTTTCAATCTCTTAATTATTCTTTAGGTTAATTTAGTTTATATTTTCACTTCTTTACACTTGTGATTGTAATTCTAAGATTTCTTCCATAAACTCTAGGTCTAATAGAACACTACATTCCTTAATTTAAAATCCCTTTAAAGATAACTAAATTATAATTAAAAAGTTTACAATATACTCTGCTCTCTCATGAATATTTTTCAATACTGAATAAGCTTCATTAATGAAAGCAGAGTATTCTTGACTATAAGAAATATTGATTGGAGGCATAGTCACAAATCTGTCAGGATGAAATTTTAATTGCAATGATCTATATTTATCTTCTAAATATCTTGTCTCTACATTAATCTTAATTGGCAAATCAAAAAGCTCAAAGTAATTAACATTTTATAATTGAAGAGATGGCTCTTTTAAATATTTGCACTATCCACAAATGAATCTGTTTATAAACTCATTTGATTTACAATTCCAACAAGTGACTTTTGAGGGAACAAATTTACTAAAAGAAAAGCGAATTAAAGATTATAGCATAAATAATAATTTATTTTATTAAAAAGTATTAGAAATAGATAAAATTAATAAAGGAGAAACTTAAAGAAAGTTCTTAAAGAATTAATTAATTGCTCAATATTTAACAAATTAATTTTGCAGATTTTTGCTCTAATTAGTTTTCTTCTTCATAGTTAATTATTCAAATAGTTTCATATAAATAATATATAATTCACTTCTATTATTATTTCACATATATATAAAGATTTAACTTTGTAAACATAAAGAAATATTAATTAATCATAGAATTAACTATTCATGTAAATAATTTATAGTATCTAAATCATATTCTTTTTTTCATCAATTGGTAAATAGATATCATTATTAGCTATTATATCTAAAAATATAAAATGCATATCATAATAACTATCTTAAATGATTTGAATGAGCCATAAAAATTCTATTTGTAGGATAGTAAAAGGACTTTTCCGCTTGTGAAATCTACCAAAAAAGCTTAAAGCTTCATAATTTAATAGCTGAATCATATAGTCTAAATTTCTAAAATAATTTTCTACTAAATAGTTCTTATTCAAAATTCTCCATAATCTACATTTAAGTGACATGTTTCTTATATGTATTTACAATATTCTATCTTTATGTCAAGAAATCTTTAAAAATAAAGAACATATGATTATGTCAATCTGTCACAGTAAATTTGACTCTTTAAATTAAGATATTATGATCTCTATTAATTTTTATGATTGATTGATATGATGGAACATTCATGTAAGAAAAATTGGTAAGTTAACTTAATAATGAAATTATTCCCAAAAAAAATACTATGACACTTTTGATTCCCATAATTAATATTTATATGATTGATCAATAAATAAGGAAACACAAGGTAAAGATAGAATAATGATGATAATTTTATGAAAATCATGAATAACTGAATGGAATTCTGCTTCTCTGATATTTATTTTTTATATGGACAAATAACTGAAATATATTAAGGAATCACCAATATCTTAAAATTAGTGTTTGAGATTACCAAGGTACAAATTTATCTGCTTTCTCTTATTATGGGTGTTATTGCTCATATACTTAATTAAAGAATGGAATCATCAGTTACCTAACATTATCATTTCAAGAATTCATTAAACAGACCTCATATAATAATATAAGGGTATTTAATTAAAGTTTCTATCTCAACCACTTTCAACCTTTGATAATGTACTAGTTGTAATTCATTCTACAAATGGAAGTGATTAATAATTAATCTAATCCAATAAAGAAGGACTTTACAATATTCCATTTGGATAATTTGAAATATAGATATGTAATGAATCAAATCACAATATTACTTGTGCTAAATAAAATTAAATAGCAGCTATCTTAGATGAATCAATAGAAATAGAAATTTTATTACAAATTACTCAATATAATTATGAAGAGTAGACATTTTATTAAGTACCCAAATCTTTAAAATATTAAATTCATAAGAATACTCAATAATTGGGATATTTATCTTATTAAATTATATCAACTGAAATTAGAAGTAATGATCTTTTTACATAAAGTTAAACTTATACTTAAATAGAAGATGCTATACTTACCTTTTAATCTATAAATTATTTATCATCTACATTGAGTAAAATAAAAATAGAAGTAAATCCATTAATCACTAAAAAATTAATTGTTTATCATAAATTTTATATCTTTATACTCTAAATTATTTCTATGAGTTCAATTATTTATTTTGTAAATTTGATATTTAATTGTATCTAAAAAATTAAGAAGAAATAAATGAAATTATTAGAGATAATATCAATTTATTATCCTTAAATCTAAGATTATAAAATAAAATTTAATTTCTTAGGTAGAATATGTTCTGTAACAACTCTTGATGGTGAAATTAGAAATCTTAAATAATGGAGATAATTTTATTAAAAATATTAGTAATCAGCTAAAGAAAAATTGAAAATAAAAAATATCATTTATTATATATCAAGGTAAATGTAATAATAGATTTTAGATTACAATATGTATGTATGTCCTTATAAGATAGAGATACGATAATGAATGCTCACACTCTAGGAATCAAATTAAATTTATAATAGGAAATTCAAAATGAAACAACTACAATAGAGTTAAATGAAATAGAAGATCCTGTTGTTTTAAGAGGATCTGACATGGATTTGTTAAGCTAACCAACAGGACCAATATTTTTAGGAGAATGCAAAATTGCATTTTATAAGAGAAATAGGGGATAGAATATGAATAAGAAGTTTTAGTTGATTTGATTTTAAAATTTAAGATTTTATTTTGCTTTAAAATGTCTCAAAAGAAGCCACAAATGCAAGTTGAGTAAGTTTTTGGATTAGATGGTGTAGATAAAAGGTTCCAGAAAACATTGTTAAGAAGACTGCAAGAGATACCAAATTGAGAGAAGCTGTTGCTAAGAGAAGAACAGAGAGATTAGCAGCAAACAAAACAAGAAGAGCTTAATGGGAAAAGAATGCTTAAGCTTATGAAAATGAATACAAAGCTGCAGATAAGAGCCTAATTGATAACATACGTAAGGCAAAAAGTGAAGGTGGATTCTATGTACCAGCAGAATCTAAATTAATCTTGGTGGTAAGAATTAGAGGGTATATAATTATGATATATATTATAGTATTAACACCTTGAATCCACAAGTCAGATAAACTTTAAGACTTTTGAAATTGAGATAACTTCACAATGCAGCCTTTGTTAGAGTCAACAAGGCTACAATTGAAATGATTAGAAAGGTTGAGCCATATGTAACCTATGGATATCCATCAAGAGCTGTCATTAAGAATCTTATTTACAAGAGAGGATATGCCAAAATTAATGGTTAAAGAATTCCAATCACAAACAATAATGTGATTGAATAATAATTAGGAAAAGTTGGTATTCACAGCATTGAAGATCTTATTCATGAGATTGTTACAGTAGGACCTCACTTCAAGGAAGCAAACAGATTTTTGTGGTAATAAATTGATTTATTAAATTTTTATAGGGCATTCAAATTGAGAGGACCAAGAGGTGGCTTTATTGCAAAGAGAAAATCATTCATTAATTAAGGAGATTGGGGAAATAGAGAAGATCTTATCAATGATCTTGTCAAGAGAATGATTTGATGGAACATTAATTATATATACATTAATAAAAAATATCAATTATTTAAACCATAGTTTTATTTTTA